TCACAGCTTGTCACATGCACGATGCCCAAAGCTTACAGACCAGCGCAGTCCTGAATCCATGCTAGCCAAACCATCGGGCGCAGTACCATAGGTAGGTCCACCTGTGGGCAAACCTGGGCTACATTGTGTGGGCGATTTTTTACTGGCGGCGCCTGGAAAAAAGAGAAAAAAGGAAGAAAGGATAGACCTACACGTCTCGCGAAACCCCCGTTGTCTATATCTCGACGACCACGACGTCGATTCACAAGTGGGTTGCTGCAGATGATGCAGATTGAGCAGGAGATGACGTACATGTGTCTACGCTCTGTTCAGTTGTCCCCTTTCATCCACCCGCGGTGCTGTTTTGCAGCGCACGAGCAGCACTTGTCAAAAAAATCATCATGTGTCTTATCTGCTGTGCGTACACTGCTACTTGCTGTATGTAGCATTTCAACACTAAATCGCAAGCACGCCATCGCCTCAGCAGGAGGCCAGCGGCTGCCAAGTGCAGCATGCGGCACCCCAGCGGTGATTCGAGCAACCAAAATGTCGAGAGAAGTGGTGCCGCCTTGAAATCCGCGCCTGTGAGGATGTGTGCAATGGAAGATCCCGCCTGTTCCTCTACTGCGGCTGCTGCTGCACACGAATTCTCAAAAGCAAAAGCTGGGAGGGGATGGTGGTGCTTGGAAGACTCACTTCATCACCCGCGAGTCGTGGTGTGACCTCCGCCTGTGCATACTTGGCTTCGTGGGCATGTGTCGCTACCTGTACGCTGACACCCAGCGCTTCAAGATTGGTCAGCTCTCCCCCGACCACCGGTACTTCTCTCCGCGGACATGCAGCCAGGTAGGTACACTAGGGGGTGCTCGTCGGACAGTAAATATAAGAACGTGATTTTGGCAATCTAAGGCCACTTGTTAAGCTGTCCTTTTTTGGGCTGTCTTTTTCTCAAAAAGGGACAACTGGCCAAAAAACCACTTGTTACGTTGTCTTTTTTTGCATTTTTGGACCTTCGAAAAAGGGACAGAAGAAAAAGACAGCGCCATCCTGTCTCTTTTCGGGCAACTTTGTGACAGGATGGGACTGTCTTTTTTTGTTGCCCTTTTTCTGTCACAACACATGACACTTGCCCACAAGCTTGAATATCTCGACGGATGATCCCCGCAAACTCTAACGGTATTCGCACGAGTCGTGTCATGTGACTGGTACGGAGTCAGTAGCCTCGGCGATAGACGTAATGTTGTCATTCGGCTGACCAGGTGGACAACCCGATGTGTGCGGCAAACAAGCGGCAAACGAGCCGAAAGAGTCGGACGCACCAGCGGTGGGTCTTTTTGGTGCACAGTCAACTTTTGCGAACCCAACTTCTGGGCGACCTATAGCGTCCTGGTCTGTATCAATCACCACACAAGACGAATCAGACGCACACCTCATGGCGGATACCTTTCTTTGTCATCGCTGTTGCTTCGGTGTGTGACGAGGGAGCATCGATGAACCAAAGTTGCAACACGGGAAAAAGAACAAAAAATATGCTTGGAGACAGACGCGGCGGGTCATTTTTCCCGCTTGTCCACCACTCTCGCGCTCACAACCTCTGACCGCCCGTCAGCCTCCTGGTCTGTATCAACCACCACACAAGACGGACCATACACATAGCTCGTGGCGGATACCTTTGTCATCGCTGTTGTTTCAATGTGTGGCGAGGGAGCATCCATGAACGAAAGTTGCGGCATGGGCAAAAAAGAGCGAAAAAAGCTGGTTGTTGGCGCGGTGGGGTTTTTCAAGGTGCTGTTGACTCTCGCCACCTCAGTTGCCGTGCCTCGCACTGCCCTGTGGTCTCGATCAGCCGCCACACAAGGCGGACCAAGCACCCAGCTCGCCGGGGATACTTTACAGTTGCTGATGCTCCGCTCTGTGCGGAGATATCACCGAAAAACCTACTCGGTGCCAAGGTACTTATTGTGTGACGAACGGCCGTTGCGCTTGTTGCAGGGTCATTTGTTTTGGCGGATGAGCAAAAAGGATCGACCAGCACCGTAACAAGGGGGTAATCTTTTTGCTAGATTATTTTTTGGTTCGTCCCTTTTTGAGAAAAAGACAGCCCAATAAAAAGACAGCTTAACAAGTGGCCTAAAGTGGCAATAGAAGAAAGCAAGACGCGCGGCGGTACAGTAAACTACCCCGCCCTCCCCAAATTTCGTGCTTTATGGTACACTTTGCCGCTGCTCCGACCACACCATGCAGGATATATGCGAGCAAAACATTTCACACATCCGTGCAGGGGGCGGGACCACGAGGAACCCCACCGCGCGCATGACCAAGAGGAGGTCACAGCAGGGCGACCGGCACCGAGGAGTGCACGGGTTTTCTCGGATGAACTCCAACAAGAACGCCCGCAAGGAAAACAACCTGACCTGGCGGGCTCCCGAGGAAAGCTCATGTTGTCTGTCACAGATGAAGAGCGACGGATGTCTGTTGACGCGCGATCAAAGGGGTTTGTTGAATCAGCTCCGTGCCCTCGCGTTGTTGAAGTCGAACCCCTAGTGTTTCCCAAGGTGCTAGGGAAGAGAAACGCCCCCGTGAGCGACCCCAAGACGAACACGTACCAAACCAAACCGAAGGCGTCCAGGAAGTAGAGGTTACGGGGTGTGTTGTAGATGGGTTAAATGGAAAATGGTGGTCGGCAGTTGAAGGTTTATAGAAAGTCGTGGGCCGACGCGTTCTTCCCTCATTGTTTTTTATTGTTGTGGATACCAGTGGTCGCCGGTTGGAGGTTTATGGAATGCCGCGGGCCCACGCTTTTTTCCCTCTTTAGTTCTTTTTTCGGGTGCGTTTGAAATTTGTTTGCCTTTCTAATTCGAGTGTGTTTGTGCGTGTCTCGGAACGGCGATGGCCACCAAGAAAACGCCATTAGAGGTGTGGTGCGTTTGACAATTTTTGCCTTTATATTTCTAATGTGTGTGTGCGTGTCTCGGAACGGCGATGGCCAACAAAACAACACCATGAGAGGTGCATTTTCAACTCATGTTGCGTCGTGGGGGAGACAAGCCACGAGAAGCAGCGCAGATTATCTCAGCTTCGTTGATGCGTGGTTTAAGTTCCACGAATACGTCGGAAGATCTGTGTGGATCATTTGTCATTTCCCGAATGTGGTCGTGTCAACTATCTTGTTCCCGCAGGCTCCTGTCCGCTAATATTTTGCGACATTGTGGTTGGGTAATAACTGCTTATCTTTCGTGGAACTTGTGCGTTGCTTTGCCATCAACTTTTGTTTTTTGCTGTGATGCGGGCAAAAAAACGGTGCGAAACACCCTCAGCCCCATATAGTCCAACGGGTGAGGAAAAATACATTTCCCTCCACACCTGGACATCCGTTTTCCCAATACCGGATACTTTCGGGGAGGGTACGCAAAGTCGAGTAAACACAGGGGGCCCGTGGAGGAATCCAGATTTGCGGCCGGGTACCCTAGCCGTTGCGACACGATCATGCAAAACGGCCACGTTGAACATCAAGTCAGGAACGAAGGAAGTGTGTCCCACATGCGACTTGATTATTTCGTCCCTCCTGAGTACCTGTGTGGTCGGGGTTGCTTGTTATAACGTGCTTCCCTTCCCACACCCATGAAAAAATAAAAATGAACGGGAACGGAAATAGAAAGCGCGAATTACCCCCCCCCCCTCCCTGCAAATTACGCCCCTCCCCCGGTTATGTCCTTACGCGAAGCAAAGGTCGGCAATCGTTAATTACTCTAGCCCATCGCTGGACGGCTTGGTATCCTGGTAACCATGGGAAAAAAAAATCCTAGAACGTCAGCCTCTTACTCGTCAACACTCAAGCCTTCGACCGTCATCGCGAACGCACAATTGTTGTTTCCTACCCTAGACACGAGGGCCCGCGAAATGGGGTCCCCTAGAGGTCGCTCTCGTACACTCCGGAACCATCAACTCATCAGACTTCCTTTTCTGCCCCGATGGCATACCCTCTCGCATGGGCAGTGGTTGTTCCACAACGCCTTCCGACGTAGATTCCCCAGGGAGGAAGACGGGCTGATTAAAATATTCATCGCCTTCTGCATCCGACCCACCCCCGCCAGGCTCGCCACCGCCCCCGCCTTCATCACCACCAGGCGCCCCAGCGCCCGCGTTTTCTATGTCATCGTCACCCTCCGACGGAGCCCCCCCCGTCACACACCTCAGCGCCGCCAGCAGTTCGTCTTTCCGCCACCAAATCTTGCCTGTAGAACTGCCGGCCCCTCTGATGAGAGCTAGTATCATCTTCTTGGTGAGCTTTTCAATTTCAGGCACCGTCGTTCCACGAAGCGACTCGAGATTGACTACAGGCGATACCGAGATGGCGTTTTCTTGCGGTTTAGATCCCGCGCAACCAGCATTTACCTCACCACTCCCGGCAACAGCCTTAAGCTTACTCCGCAGGGCAAGGGACGCTTTGTCTTTGCTAATCGACGACACTTGACTAACATGCCGTGTGTAGTCCCCCATGCGGCAGTTGTGCCATTTCTGGACGATGAAAAGGAAAACTTCATGAGCGACCTTGGAATCCCACTCAAAATCCACGACTCCCGAGGAGGGTTTGCAGCACCCAGCCCACGCATCCCTGACCGCGGTCGCTTCGCTGACCACCCGCAACATCTCACCCGGAAGGTCTCCGAGATATGCTCCTTACAGAAAGGGCTTAGAAAGGATGTGGAAGTACCCGATCTCCAAAGCATATGTGAACTCAAAAAACGCTTTCGTGGCAAACAGGAGTCTAGCACCGTTGAACTCGTCGTTCCTCCTCTTCACTTCACCTACTAAGTGCTCCAGTTCCTTATCCTTCTCTACCGCAGCTTCCGCGGAAGCGGACTTGTTGAGATCTACAAAGGACACCCACTCCCTCTCCTCAATATTTTGCCGTCTCACGTGCGTCCAGACCTTGCTGAGCAACCACCCGCTGATGTAATACAGCACTTTCGCCCGTGGTTTAGTGACGCGGGTCTTATTGCCGGGATACGACAACTTGATCAAGTTCGCCTCCTTCTTCTTCCGCACAAAAACACCGTAGAGCTCCTGGTGATCAATAAGGTACAGAAGCAACAGCCGGAGCATGCGGCGAAGGGGTGTACGGGTTGACAGTTGTGAACGGGGTGTACTGCAGTTGAACACACGATACAAACGACTGAACGTGGCGCCAGCCGAAGCCTACAAAAATCGTACGTAGGTCAATAATAGTGGGTGGCTTGTTCCCCCAACAAGAGACACGGGTCTCGGGTAGCACCCCGGTGCCGTTGGCTGCACACACTCAGGGCACTCGGTCTAGCTTCTTGGGCGGAGGTGTTCGGGCGCTAGATAATTTCGCCTCGAATCATTATTATGACTTGTGTACACCTACTATGGCTCTCATGGAAGATTTTCAATTAGTTATAGCCGAGACGCACCTCATCCACTTGGTTGATGCCACACAGCTCATACCTGGTTCGTTTGGTGTTTCTACCACTCGTCCGTGCCACCTTCTGGATATCCTCATGATTTATCCACGCCTTCAGTCGTGGCGCCCAACTGGCGAACCGGGCCAAGGTGAAGTTCGACGCTTCCTTCGTTGACCCCTTTCCTTTGCTGACTCTTGCTTGGACATCCACCAGCAAAGCCCACGATGTCGCGTTAAACAAACGGGTGGGGGCAAGGGACTTGACCTGTATCCAGAGGTCAAGAAGCCAAGGAAAGTGCTCGCGGAAAAGACCTTCGGCGGCGGCGTCCACCTTCTCGCCAACATCAGCAGCGTCCCTGATCTGAGACGTCTGCTGGTCGACCATCCCCCGAACCATGGCCGCGTGTGCCTCCTGCAGTTGGTGCACGTCCAGAAAAGTGGCAAGGGGACGAGAACGAAGTCATCCTACCGTCCAGGAAACCCACTGCACAGAGAACGCATCAATCTATGCAGGCTACCCCAGAGGGACGACGAGGGCTACGCACTGCCCGAAGAAACGCCACGTGTGAGAGACCATTCTCTGTGGAAGATGAGTTTACCACGATAAACACTGCTCATCCCCTCTGCCACACAATTTGGGACCATGTATGCGCAACATTGCTCTAAGTGGAGGTATTTATTAGGGATAACTCCCGAGTGCAAACATCTTCGACCGGGAGCAAGACCTCAATTCTGCCCCAACTGACCTGATTATCCCCGATACTATCCGTCGCGTTTCCCAAGCTCTCGACCCCCTCCAGTACTAGAATGCCGCGTTCCATCTCGTCATCCAAGTCTTGCACTTCGAAACGGACGAGACGCAACGGCGGGCGGCAGGGGCTATTCAGACCGGGCTATCTTAGATACACAGTCGGAAGATAATCCAGCCGATCCCGAAATCAAAACCTCAACAGTTCATGGTACACGTTTCTAAATTACGGCAATATGGAGTAATTTTCAAACGGGGGTGGTGAATCAGAGAGGGAGGAGGAGGGGGGGGGGGGGGGGGGGGTCCCCAAATCCGGGACCCCCAAATCCTTTTCCCCTTGACCCCCCAACCCCA